CTTGGTTGGGGCCTTTCACTAACAGTGTTTCCTTACAAGATCCCATCTTCCACGACGACAAGAAGAAGAAGCCCCGATTCATCTTTAGCGTTTGGCCTCACAAGACCTACCCTTTTAATTATGGTTCCATTCCCCAGACCTGGGAGGACTCGACCGTCGTCCACAACTTTACTGGCTACGTTGGCGACAATGATCCAATGGACATTTTTGACATAAGCTCGCTGGAACCTCCTCATGTTGGACAGCTGAAGCAGGTCAAGGTTCTGGGCGGACTAGCAATGATTGACGTACATTTGCCCCCCCCCAAAACAAGTGAAAGCCCGTAGTGGGGTTGCTGACCCGCCGACCTTGTAACTAGGAAAACACGACTGACTGGAAAGTCATTGCCATTGATATAAAAGATTCCATTGCCTCCAAAGTTAACAGAGGTTTTTTTTGTTTTTTTTTTTTTTTTTACTTGGCTTTATTTCTTTTCTCGTTCAGATCGTCCTATACCGTGGTGGAATTTGACCAACACTTTAATCAGCTGTCGACGATCTCGAGGTCTTTCGTCCTGGAAGCAAAGAGGCCTTTTACGACTGGTTCGTTGTAAGTTTTGCAAAGCCAATACTCCATCCACCCTTTCAACGCGACAGTCTAACCTTGCATGTCATATAGTATTACAAGGTTATCAAGGGCTCGGGCAAGAATTACATCCATGGCGACAAGTTTCAGGATCCAGACACCATGCTTGCCCATATCCGTGAGAGCAACGAGTTTTGGCTCAATCTGATGCGCGGAAAAACAAAAAAGGACAAGATCAACCGCGACCAGACCTCAAACCCCCGTTGGTGCAAGACGTTTGCTGCCTCGAGCAACACTACCGCCAAGTTTGGCATTCCCGCGAGAAGCAACCTTTTGCCACCCGCCGCGAGACCGAGCCAGTATGATCGCTGGTATTACCTCGACAAGGACTTTAACATTATTCCGGGCCAGGTGATTGAAGAGTAAGAAATCTTGCGAGGCAGAATTCAGCATATTCGTGGCAATGAATGAATGTACTTGGGACTGCAATATGAATGAGCTCTGCTATGCTACCCTATAACCATGTCGTGTCATCTGAATGTAAACACTAAAGAAGACGCCGACAGATGCAATAACGACTTAGATATTCTCGTACTGGACCGTCTCGTACTTGCTTAGGGCACGAATGCGGGGACCAAACTTAAACAGAACCCACGGAATGGGAAGCAGCGCCACCGTTACAATGGCAAAGAGGCTGACGGCCCAGTCCACGCCCAGCTTGTCGTACATTTGCACAATAAAGAGCGGAAACGCGCCCGCAAACGCATACCGCGCCAGGCTGTTGGCGCTGGCCTGACTAGCCACAACGCTGCCGTGGTACGTGTCGGCGCCGTACTGCATGGCCGACACAAAGATGCACAGATTTCCCCAGGCAAAGGGCAGAATGGCCACGGCAGGACTGGCCCACGAGACGGAGCTCCTCGCCGTCCAGGCATACCAAAACAGGCCGACGGGCAAGCCCAGACTGCCCACCATGGCGGGATACAGACGGTGCTCTGGCGGCACCTTGCCGGGCGGGAATTTGCACATCTGCGGGCGGTACAGCCCGACGTCGCAGGCAAGAATCGTGCACAGGCCGATGATGCAGCCAATCGCGACGGACAGGAAGACGAGGCCGGACTGCTCAATGCTAAAATGGTAGACGCGTCCAAAGGTGTACGAGAGCCCGGCAAAGAAACTAAAGAGAATGCCAAAGTTGACCGACACGTAGAGGCACAGAAAGCCGGTAATGGGCTCGGTGAGCAGCATGTGCACAGGCCGTATCAGGCCGGTTTGGAGAAACGCAGTGATGCGTTTGAGGATCGGGGGAGACGGCGGCACGTCTTGGCCGCGTTCCTTGGCGATTCTGCGCTTCAAGATGGCGGGAAACGTCTCCCAGGTCGTCAGCGTAAAGAGCAGGGTAAAGGCGGCGAAAAAGAGTAGAATCCACTGCGTCCAGCGCCAGTTTTGGCGACTGACGGCAAAAGATCCGAGAATGGGACTAAGAACGCAGTCAAGGTAAGAAAGTTAGCGGCCTGTTTCACATAAAAAGTAACAGAGAACAAGGTGATTGTTTTTTTTAAAAAAAAAAAAAAAAGAAAAAAAATACATACGCGAAACCTGGGCCGAGAAACGGCATGAGCACGTAAATCGCAATCATCGGCCCGCGGCTCCTCGGCGCAAACGTCTCGACAATGGATCCAGAGCCGCTGGCGAGCGCGGGCGCCCAACAGAAGCCAGCCATGAAGCGCAAAAAGCAAAGAGCGCCAAAGCTGCGCGTCAGGCCGGCGCCGAGCGTAAAGAGGGCGCCGAGCACGCTGGTGCCGACGTAGACGGGTTTGCGGCCCGTCGTCTCGGACAGGGGTCCGCCGACGACGGGGCCGAAGCCGAGGGCGAAGCAGTAAAGCGACAGGGGCAGCAGCGCGACGACACGGGTGACGTGAAACTCGGCCATTATGGCGCTGGTCGCGGGGCTGATGATGGAGGTTCCCGCCGATCTGAAAAGTTAGCGAGAGCGACGACCGGGGGGGGGGGGGGAGGGTTTCGTGTGAAATCAACAAAAGTTTGGCTGGGGTACGTACGAGACGAAGCCAAACGAGGACAGCATGACAATGAGATGTGTCTTTTTCCAGTTGGGCCAATTCATTGGTTTTCTCGGGTGCTGCTCCCAGGGCACGGCGGCCGCCTCATCAGTTTGCTTCTCGCTAATGTCGGAATGTTGGTGCACGGCAGAGCTCCTCCGGTCGAGTGCATCTCCCCCCGGCACACCGCTTTCCGTGTCACGCGGAGAAGCGGCCGCCGGTGCTTGGTGCTCCGTAGTCGACATGAATGCCTTTGAGTTTCCTTTTGCATCAGCCGCTGTTCAATACTCAAAGTGTCGTTTTGGTCGTTCGCGGGACGGGAGTAGCGAATTTTATAAGCCGTTGTTATACGCCAAATGCAGACAAAGATGCCGGGCGGCCGGGCGGGCCAGAAAGCCCAAAAGAAGAACTGGTCTGCTGTCTGTCGGAAGCAATTCTCAACACAAACTTGTACATGCAGTCGATTGCTGGCGGCGGGTAGACTTTTTCCGATTGACTGCTTCCCGAGTACACCAACCAGACTTCGGGTCGGAGGATATATGCAACGGAGCAGAATGGGCACCATTCTGATCTTATTCGAAACATTCTCGCCTTTTGATTTTCCCCAGGCTTCGCCCACTTGCTCCACAATCTGCGCGCCCTTTTGAGCTTCCCGAGACTTGGCAAGGCGCCATCATTATTATTAGTTAGACTCTGTTTGGTAGGACGCTAACAAGCGGACGTACAGCGGTCTTGCGGCTATATGCGGCCATTGTAAGACCCTTTTCTGTTAGTATCAGTACACCGGAGATGTCGATTACTGATCTCCAAGGGCGTCGGCCCCACGATGGGTGAATAATGGGTGAATAATCGCCGAAAACGACAAAAGACCTCAGCCATTACTATACCCTTGTTGGTGATGCACCGATGAACTTGCATCAGGAGGTTTTCGCAAAGCACGTCCGTCCATCGATATTTGGCTCAACTTGCATATGCGGTGACGATAACGACTATTTTGACGTGGCGTCGTGCAAGATCCGCAGCCAAGACAATGATGCAACGGGGAAGTGCTCCGGGGCCGCTTCAGGCATGAGAGACAGCGAAGCAGAAGCAAAACACCTTGGACATCCTCTACAAAATGACCAATAAACGTGTTGAAGGTTTTCTAACCGTCTGATAGTATTTTCCCAGTCTTGTGTGACCTGCTTCAAGGACTGCGTTCGTAGGCCGTGGCCGTGCACCCACAAGACATCGGATGCGCCATCCCCATGCCGCCCTCCGGAACGAGCCGTCGAGAGGCTGGAAAGGAGGCAAGAGTCAACGACTCGACACAGAGTCTCAGACACGTATGCGCTGCAATGCTACACAAACCCTAAACGGACTTGCCATTGAAGAAATTCACAACTTGTTGTCTCGGCCATGTCATTGTGCTTGAGCTGAGAGCGCGGAGCAAGGCTGAGGCCATCGTGCATCAACTCAAGACACATAAATCATGCAATGCTTCTGTCGGCACCATCACTTTGCAGCCAAGAAACAACCCCCAAGACACGAACAGAGAAGCAGCACCACATCCTGTGAGCGCGCAGTTGAAACAGAAACATGACCAAGGAAAGAAATCATTGGCTTTTAAATTGCAACCACAGCTGCACAACTTGATACCTAGTAAGCGTTACTCGAGATTTACCATGCTTTTAGCCTATCACCCCGTTAGCGCCTAACCCATGAGCTCCGCTTCAAACATGTGAAATTCTGCTTTTGTCCTAATGTATTCCTCGTGGAAATACTCCAAGAAAGGTCCTGGCATCTGGCTTCCTGCAAAAGTTTTGAGGAGCCCGTCCTTTCCCGTCCAGAGGTGACGGATAAACGTGCCATCGCACCCAGAATGGGCCTCGGGGAAGCCATTCGCCTCGTCGCAGGGTAGCTCCTTGATATCGTCGACATAGTCGTAGCGGATATACGTGCCAAATCCTCCTTGGTCCGTCGGACGGCCGGGATCGTTTGTCCGAAACTTTGTGCAACTAGGATAACGACCGCCGTCGTTTGGACACTCTTGCCAGGCGCGCAGGATCTCAAAGGTTCTCGCTTTGTTTTGCGCCACAAGAAATCCCGTGTTGAGAAACTCCTTCCCGAACTCATCCTGGTTCCATTCGTGCGCCGGGTCAAAAGCTAGAGCAAGCGAGTTTGTGGCCCGGCTAATCCCCCAGTAATTCATCAACCATTCGAACGGCAAGTCTAGATTTCTGAACAGAGCATCCGAGTCAAGATATATGCATGCCTTGTGCTTTGTCAATAATTTCGAAATAATGGCAGGCTTCTTCCACGAAGTGCGGCGGTCCTCATAGCTATCCACTGTTATATAGTAGTACTTGTATCCATGTATCTTACCTTTGCGCCTCGTAAGTTTGTATCTCAACATCAAAAGGAAATGAAGCTTACTATACAACCAATGATTCAGAAACCCCAGCGATAGGCCATGCACAGATTCTGCGTGATCCCAGCTCATTATGTGCGGGCCCCATATTTGCCCAGAGGCATTGAAGCCTCGGTCGTCCAAGTCGATTATGCACAGATCTTTGCCAAGCCTCTTCCGCCACGGGACGTCCTCGGGCAAGTGCCACTCAAAAGCCCCGAACGGGGAGTATTTCGGGGTATCGGGTAGTACTGAAGGCTTTTGTAACCTCTGGAAATAAAAGTCAATCCAAGATATCTTCGGGTCCGTAGCGGTGCTGAAGGGAACGTGGTGTAGCCTGGGCGGCTTGCGACTGTGTTGGCATTAGTTTCCGTCGTCTAGGGCTCGCCGAGGCATCTGCCGCCATGGCTTACATTGTGTTGGCAGTGAGATCTTTGCTCGTCGGTCTCGTGCGAAAGGATTTGAGCGATAGGAGAAGAAGTGCGATAATGGCAGCAATCCCGCAAAGACGACGCAGTCCATAGCCACGAGAAGCCATGTCGGTATTGGTTTCGCGTATTTATGAAGGTAAAAGAATGAAATAGTAGTTTTCAACAATCGAGATGGAAGAATATACCTGTGGCTGGTTCCGTTGGAAAATTTTTGACACTGCTGGTGATACGAAGACGCGAGGTCTTGAGCAAACAGAAGCACATGCCAAGACTTGTCTTTCACCACAGGTTGAGAAGGAAGAGGCGAGCGCGCATGCTGGACAACGGAGTGTCACTGCGCTTTCGATGACCCTACAACGACATGGCGGAAGCGGAATTTGTATTTCTTGTCCGGCGATAATAGCGCTCTCTATTCTCCCATTCTCTTTTGTGTGTCAGACGTCTGTTTATCGTGGGAGATGGACGGCATCCGGCGGAGGTAGGTCAAAAACTTTTTTTTCGCCGCCAACACTTTCGGCATCTTCATCGTATAGTAGCGGATCAGATATTCTGATACGTCTCAGGGTACAACAGATGATCTTCTTCGTCTACAGCGACGGAATCGTGAAAAGACAAAGTACAAGAGTGTGCAACCCGAGGCGTCGGAGACCATACGCACTGTACTCCCTACTGTGATGAGTCAGGCTCTCTTTCTACCCATGATGTTTTTGGAAACGCCATGTATCATAGAACTTGTATTCCATTCCTAATTCAATTACGCGGTTATATAGTCGCGATAGCAGAAAAGAATCAAGCCCCATTCTGCTTGTCCAAAACTAACGGATTGATGAAATTGCAGCTATCTTGCAGGTCCTTTGAGAGTGTAGTGTTCACAAAATCCTACTACCTACTGGTGGGCTTAGACCTTTGCTACAGCTACAGGTTTGCACCACGGGAAAACGAACAAGACCTCGTATCTGAGGTATTATGACGAAACTAATCGCACTCACTATACTGGGACATTTTCAAACGAAATCTCATCTTCTTTTGTAGGTTTGTTATTCACATCCTACTTTCCGAGCTCAGCCCTGTTCATCATGTCCCAAAAGGGAAAACGAGATGTACGCCACCAAAAGCTCTAAAATCTAAGCACTTGCACTGTAATCCGTACATCACTGTACACTTGTCCTCAGCCGCACTGTCCGAATGCGACCGCCCAAGATGACGTGTTCCGAATCACCATGCTTGTTGCCACATCATATAAAGGCTCATCCATGTCAAATGGTCGTTTGCCATAGTGGAACACGGCGGTATCGTCACGCCCAATACGCGTAAAAAAGCATGTCATTTGCCGTGAGGACGAACCAGACAGAACCAGACTACCAGGTTCTGTCCTTTGCGCCCCATCGAGAAGTGCAGGCTCGAAAGTACATTCCGCGCAAGCCGCATCGCAAGTCAAAAGGTGGCTGCTTGGGGTGCAAGCTGAGCAGAATCAAGGTGGGCATCAGCCAATCTCTAGCAAGAAAAAAAGCCTTCATCGTCCCGGCGTGATGAGTGATGAGTCCCTAGGCTAATACGCTCCATCCTGTTATTAGTGCGACGAAGGCAAGCCTTCATGCGCGAGATGCCTTCGATGTAATGCCAAGTGCCAATATACTTCACCGATCAAGGGCAAATCACCCCACAAAGCTGCACCGTCAAATAAGGGCAAAACAGCTACAGCAGCCATTACTCCCTTCACACCCCCATTCGCCTTTGGACAACCGTCCGCCATAGCATTGGCCGACACTTGTCTGCAATCCAGGTCTCCAGCCCGGGGCGTCTCTCGTGTTTCGCTTCTTCACCACCTTCAACAACACTTTGACTCTTCCAATGGCCTCGAGACCGGAGGAGGCAACATGCCGTTCATCGTCAGCCTCGGCATGAGCCGCCCATACCTCCTCGATGTCACCTTGTCTGTGGCCGCCTGTCATCTGCGCCACTTGTACCAGGCTAGCGGCAGTTTGAATGATGCCACGTCCGACACAATAGCTGCATGTCGAGTTGCAGAGCACTACCAGCAGTCTCTCGCCATTCGTAGCTTCAATCGGGCTTTGGCCGAGCCATTCGATCAGGAGGGATCCGATTCCGTCCTCATGACCTCAATGATGCTCAATCTGCTCTCATTTGCACTTGATGAGGACGACGACCCTTCCTTGTCGTGGGTCTTCAGCAAAGCTCCAGATCGCCTTGCTTGGATTTCGCTGAGCATGGGGCTTGCTACGCTGGTGAAGAATACCAAGCAATTCCACGACCAATCTATTCTCCGCCCCATATTCGACGCCTCCGATGATGAAGAAAAGACATATCACGGCGATGCTATCAAGTCCTTATCCAAGGTACCGTCTCATTGGCTTCAGCTGTGTGGACTCGATTATGCTTCCGATAACGCCGAGCACATCTTTTACGAGCCAGTACGAATTCTTGCCGGGTTGTTCTCTACCCCGGCCAACCAACAGTCATTCTTCTTATACATGGGTTGGTTCGGCAAGGTGGGCGTCGAATTCCGGTCGTTGCTCAAGCAGGACAGTGAACCGGTCATGTGGCTCTTGGGATGCTGGCTAGGGCTGCTGTGTCGATTTGATCACATGTGGTGGCTCAGTGCAAGAGCCAGGAGGGATTATCGTGCCATTTGTATGTGGTTGGATAAACGCAAAGTTCGAAGGCGAGCTGGTGCAGAGGGTGTGATGTGGAGGCAGCTCATGGTGGATCTTGAAGGCGCTACGCAGCAACCCTGGGGGATTGAGATTTGGACTCTACACAGACCAGAGCCAGTCGAGATCTGTGACTAGCCTGTACCAAAGACTCTACTTTATTGAAGATGGCGCAGGCCGAAAGCTCCTTCATCAGTCGCGTGATAATACATGATAAAGCTACCCATGCTGAACCTTGATCTGTTTGCACCAGTCGCGACCATGCGCGACTTGGTAGTTGCAGAGACCAGTTTCCATGACAATGCCTATAAGCCCTGCGATGCAGATTCCACCACTATCGCTGACGGTTGTGGCACTGAGACTAAACTCGCGCTCGTCCTCGGGCACATTTTCCATGATTTCGGCAAAACAGTTCACGTAGACAGCTCCGCCCAGCAGTCCCTCCCAGAATACAATGATGAATACAATGTAAACGGACGGCAAAAAGAAGACCATGGCGTGCAGGGTCAACAGCACAAGGTTTCCAATCTGAAGAAAGGAAGGAAAGTATAGATGGCGAATGCGCACAAAGCTTATGGATGATCGCGAAACGAAAACGCCGAGTTGATAGAGGAAGCCGTAGAATGGGTAAAACTCGCGAAATTCAGTAAAAGGCGACTCGTCAAGGGGAAAGAGAAGCGTAGGGGCTACTCCCTGGTTGATTGTGTACTCGGCGACATAAACAAGAAGAAGCGGCAGCATATATGGAACGATGAGTGACCTGGCGCGTCTCAGATTGGCTTTCAGATTCGATAGTTCGGACGCGCCGCTGGCCGCACCTCGTCCCTGTCTTGGGTTCAGAAGCGCTGCGGTTGCCGGGCTCTCTTCCTCGTCATCCCCGGCATCGTCTCCCGAAAGCGCGCCGTAGCCGCCATGGCCCGTCGTGCCCTTGCGCAGCGGTCCCTGCGGCAGCACGCAAAAGAAACTGACGAGCATAATGACGGGCAGCGCGGCCGAGAGCAGCAGGCTGGTGCGGACGCTGAAGCGCCACCACTCCGTCATTGCGACGTACAGGCCCGCGCCGACCAGACCAGCGGCGCCGGTACCGGAGCCCCAGCCAGCGAGGCTGACGGGGCCGTAAAAGTGCGTGAGGCCGAGGAAGCTTAGCTCGCCGCCGCCGCTGCTCAAGCTGGCGAGCACGACGCCGGCCATTTTGACCGCGATTGACGTCGTGGACGGCGTCAGCGCAATGAGGCACATGCCCGCGGCGGATAGGGCGCAGAATATAAAGACTCGGGTGCGGTACGGGACGCGGTGGATAAAGTATGGTGCGACGAGCTTGGCGAAGAAGGAGGGTACCACGTCGGCGAGGAGCACGACGCCCTTGGGCACGGTGCCGACGAGGTCCTGGGCGGCCGAGAGGATGATGACGTAGAGCACATTATTGATGAGGCCTGCGAGGACGTTGTTAGGGCTTCGTGAAATGGGAGGGCGGTGGGATGACGCGGCTTACCAAACAGCCAAAACGCCGCGACGACCTTCATGTTTCGATGGTGCCAGAGGGCATTCAGGCGCGCGGCGTAGGCGTCCCAGGAAGACGAGGGGCTCCCGGGCAGTGGAAGGCGCATGTATGAAGAGGCTGAGCTATCCGTCATCTGCAGGTCTTCCTTGTTGTTGTCTGTGAAGAGCACGGCATGATGGCTTTGTTGAGGAGTTTCAGTTGTTGAGATTGGCCTGGGCGGCTCGGCGGGTGCCCTCACGCGACAAGGTCTCAGGTGGTGTATGTAAGCTGCATGTACGCCGCTGCGATCGCGGCTTTTGTTGTCAAGACAAAGTTTGAAGAATAGAATTGCAAAAGAATTGAAATGGGGACGAGAATGAGAAAAAGTGAATGAGGCTTGATCCTACACTTTTACTGTGATTCATCATCCTCTTTTGTACGGAAACATCCAAGTCAATGTTGTACTTGGGTCGACAGTCACCAGCGAGCTGGAATGTGGCTACGAGGTACCTGTGCCCGCACCACCCTTGCCATGACTACCTAGGTACCTTTTCGCTTCTGAAGCAGCGACAAGTAAATTTAGGGAGGGGAACTGAAGAAATAACAGAAAAAAACTCGTTAGGACTGAATTTTTTTGGCTGTGCTGAAGAAATTAGACCATCTTACTTTTACCAGGCGGCGGACCCTCACGTGACGCTACAAGTGGGGCTGTTAAAGGTACCTAGTTCTTAGTACAGTTCAATAGAAATAGAAGTATCTTGAAAAATCTAATGTATTTGACTATTCTATGTATCCCCACCACCACAACCACCATAACCCCTCCTCGCCGCCGCTGCTTGAAGCTCTTAACACTAGCTGATTCTGCACACATCGGACCCGGATCAACGATTCTTCCGCGTCAATTCCTGCCACCAACGCCAGCGTTGCCAGCGCCGCCGCTGGAAGCTCTTAACATTGGCCAATTCGCTCAAAAAACGTATTTTCGCTGCTTTCGAGGAATGTATGCACAACTCGTCAGAAAAAAGTTAGCGGAACTTTTTAGGTACCTAATTTAGTATAGGGGCCGCTAATAAAGCGAGGTACCTGATAAGTACTATAGCGGGGCAGATCACGTGAGGGTCGTCCACGTAGCAAAAAAGGGTCGTCCACGTAGCAAAAAAGGGTCGTCCACGTAGCAAAAAAGGGTCGTCCACGTAGCACTACTTATGATAATATGCTAGATATGGCCGCTGCTATTCCGCTGCTGCTCCGCACCGCTTTCGGAATTGAAATTCCGCTTAGTTTCCTTCTAGAATCAGTCGCGCCATAGGCTGAGGTATATAGTCCAAAGTACTGTGGGTACCGTCTTAGACCGCATATGGCTTCCATCATGCCTTTCTGTACGTAGATATAAGATGAGATAGGACTTGGCATAAGTGGATTATAAGATATAGCCAGGCCTAAGTGGACCCGGCGACCGTCTTATATACTTTATGGCATAATTTAGTAGTATATATCATTATAGCACTATATATTTGCCACTGCCTCCTTCTAGGCTAATGAATTCAGTAAACAATATAAATATCAAGTCTTTCTCTAACCTTTAAGAAGAAAATTCCACTTACAGTAAAAACTTAATAGCTATTCTATCAGCTTACAGCCTCACTCTACTTATCTATTGTTTACTTATTACGAAACTATAACAATGAAGTACTCTTTAATCCTCATTGCCGGCTTTGTTTCCGCCTCTCTCGCTAGACCAACTACGAATACATCAAGACAGAATGTCATTACATAGAACGAGCTTTGCAAGCCATTCAATAGCAACGAAAATGCCTATACTAATGCACTAAGGGATTGTTTGCCAAAGAAAGGGGGAGATCCAGAGAGAACCCAAACATATGTACACGCTACGGCTAAAAGGGGGGTGGACGACAACAAGCAGCAAAGAGACCAGCAGCCACAGAAGCCAGGATTAGGCGAATATTACACCATTAAACCCAACAATTGCGCCGATGGATTAGTGTGTGAGAGTCTAATCTTCTTAAACGGAAAGACTACAGGAAAATGTGTTCAGGACAGGACGCAGAATGACCAGCAACTCTCACTAGACGGCAGCAGCCCGCCCCTTACCTTCAAGTACGCTACCAGCCAGCCCTCGAGCGATAACTAGATCGGAGTCTGGCCTAAAGACGACACACAAGCGCCAACATAGGGCAGTACCACCTAGGACTACGCTAAAGAAAGCTCAGGCTCCCTCCAGCTTACACCTCCCGGTTCTATAAAAGCTGGCAAGTACAAGGCGTATCTTTTATCCGGCGACCGAACCGTTCTCGCTTTTCTCCAAAGCTTCGAGTACAGCCCAATCTCAGACAGTGTGGCATTCAGCGTCAAGACTCACTACAAGACCAATTACGCTAGTAGTGTCAACAACAACGTCAACATCAGGCTAGGCAATGGTGTCTATATCAACACGGACTGCGCTGTCAGTAGCCTCGAAATCCCAAGCGTCAGAAGCTGCCCGGACGGCGAAATTCGAATCAGCTACTGGCAGAATGCCGATTACAAGGGCGACTGGTACGGCTACGGCTACGGAAGCAGAAGTACCTGCCGCGGACTGTGGTCCAACGGCTGGGGCTTCAAGTCCCTATGGGTGAGTTATGCAAAGCAAAGCGATGACTGTGTTAGTCGAGGAGAGTGCTCGATTAATAAAGTGCCAAGTCACCCTATTTACTCTTAATACCCTACAAAGCTAAAACAAGCTTAAGTAAGGCTATCACTTTACCATATTTAGCGTGCCTAATAATATAATCTTACTATATATAATAAAACCTTTATAGGTTATACTATAGTAGTTATATATTATATAGATAGATTTATCGTCATATTATATATAAATTATATAATATGATTATAATATATGGCGAATAGGTGTTATACACACATGAACGCACTAAGGCTATCATCCGGGAGATATGCTATGCTACTTTTACTAAGCCATGGTTTAAGGCATTTAGTCGTTTCGATACTCTCAATGCCTAAACGGCTCCTATAGTCTGTGAAGATGACCTACATGCCCGAAAACAGGCGTTCCAGCTCAGCCGACATAGCTAGGATAGACATCTAATGCCATAACAGGTAGGGCTAGATAACACTACCTTTACGTCAGCTCAAGCCACCACCACCAGGATCGTAGGTCTATGACCTTAGGTAGTATAGGAGCAAGGAGGTGTTTTCTATACTCGTCCCGATAAAGGCTAATCCCCTCGCTCCGCTATATGGCTACGCCCATCTATGAAACGAGTTCTTAGCCTCGCTAGCCATTTCTATGTAAAAGGGAAACGCACAGCAGCTAGTCAGCAGGGCGCGTAATTTTCAATGCGCGCCCAGGCGCCTCTGCATTAGCCGCCTCATGCCGCTAATGTGCAACTACTAGCAGCCTCCCTAGAGTGTAAGCGCTGTCTCCCACTAACGAGTCCTGTCACCACTAGGCAATAAGGGCGTAGGTAGGTAGGTATAAGTAGCAACTATAGCGCCCCCCTACTGGTCATGGGCTGCCCTACCCGGCACAATATATTAGCAGCCTTCGCGATGACACCTAATTTACTATTATTAACGCAACTAACTTACTATCGAGATGGAGTTGAGTTGATTGAAGACTTAGAGTAGGCTTCGACCTTATCTACGGGAGCGCTGGGCGAAACTAATATTGAAAATTTTAAAAGGTACTTTCCATATTACACAGGATCCTAAGTAACCCCAGGTATTACGCTTATAAAGAGCATAGATTAAAGTAAATAGCTGATACTAGGAAGCGTGCTACGTCTATAGAATAGCTAGTTCTAACTAAGTAGGTGTATATGCTGTATATAGCCTGTACACGGCTATAAGTAGCTAGAATTTAGCTAGTACTAGCTAGTAAGAATTATATTAAGGTATATAAGTGTTATTAACGAAGAAAGGACATAAGGTAGCTAGGGAGGCGGCCTAAGAACGCGACTAGGCAGGCGCCTATAAGTTACTAGATTAGGATAAGAGGTTACGTAACTAGATCACAATAAAGTATAATAAGCTAGTTATAATCTATAAAGGAAAGATTACTAAGATAATCTTAGTTTATAATAAAAAGATAAATAAGTACTTAAGGAAAAGGTATTTTTATAACTAAGTAGTCTAGATCTTTATTAATTAATCTAAGTAATATTAAATAATTAGTTTTAAGAGTTTTACTTTTAATTATATTTTATATAAAAATATTATTTATTATTACTTTATAATATTTTATCCTAATTTACTATCTAAGAAATAGATAATTATAAATTAAAAATAAGTTATTATTATATTTTAATTAGTCTTATTTAATAAATTACTTTAAAAACCTTAAATAACTAATCTTTTATAATATTTATTATAAATAAAAATATTATTAACCTTATAATATAGTTAATAAGTAAGTTATATAAATAAGTAAGTTATATACTTTATCTAGTTTTTATTATAACCTATCTTAGTATTATAATTACTTAATAATATTTAAATAGAAAATACTTTAAAAGAGTTAAGAATTATTTTTACCCTTTAAGCTCTT